AGCGCATTCGTTCGCCACCGCAGTCACCTGAGGTCCGAAGTTTTGAAATTATCTCAGCACCATTGTGGTTGTATTTCGCATCATACCCTGCCGTGAAAAATTATAGTAGGCAAAAAATAAAGAAGTTAACATTCATTAGGATTGTTGTAACGCTATACTTTTATACAGAAACTACCTACTCCGTTGGAATGGACAGTACGGAAGGCGATGTCCACTCAACGTTGACGGTAAGATAAAGTCGACCATTACTAAACGAGTGTTAAACTTTTGTATATTCAAGTAATTAGTGAAATTTTTTCAAATCGCTTTTGAGCAATGCAATTATTGCTAATGGTTGCCACACAAACTAACGATAACATCGATGTGAAAGCGATTGAGTGCTAGAGTATCGGTGGTGGTCTGGTAAGCGCGTTGCCTATGAGATCACGCCTATATTCGCTTTACACGAGTTCGATCTCCGATGAGGTTTTTAGGCATTGTTGGCGAAGTTTTCGACGAAACTACTTTGGCCAGACCATTCAAACATCACTACGATCAATGATAGTCGAACACAAGAACGGGCTGATTATGAAAGACTGTCTTTGGGAGAATCCCTTATGAGTTCCGGCTGAGTAAAGCTATTTGTTACACAATTTCATTATACCAGTTAACATTATATCAATATGAATGGCCAACAGTTAGAAATCAGGTCGAGCTCTCCTATTTCGCTTTATGTCTTCCTTAAAAAAGCTAACAATGTTAACACTTTATTTACCTCCTACTACAATTTTTTTCGGCAGGGATTATGTGTGAAATAACCACAATGGTGCTGAAATATTTGCAAAACTCCGGACCGCAGGTATCTGCATTGGGGAACGAGCGCGCTATAACCCTATCCGGAGGCTAGCGCATTCATCACCACACCATGCGGATCGTTCGTTCGTCCTGTCTCTCAGCTAGTTCTAACGTGCCATCAAAAATCATGTGTCAGCAGAATTGATCTAGAGAGTCCAAGCCGGCAGTGAACCCAGTTAAGCTGAGGTTGTAGTCGAAATCACAATGTTAATTTTTTATTTACTTCTTACTACGATTTTTTACGGCAGGGTGTTATGTGTGACACAACCACAATGGTGCTGAGATTTTTGCAGAATCTCCGGACCGCAGGTGTCTGCGGTGGAGAACGAACACGCTATTAACCTATCCGGGTGCTAACGCGTTTACCACCACACTATGCGGGCTCTTCGTTTGGCCTCTCTCTCAGCTATTTCTTTCGGAGACACCTGCGGGTCCGGAGTTTTGCAAATATCAAAGGTAATAATTTTTTCTTAGTGAAAAAACCAAAAAAAGAAAAGAATAATAAGGAATAAAGCAACAACGGTATGCTTCCTCATCAAGAAAACAACGAATTATCGGACCAGTGCTGAGGTTAATAGAAAGCGCCAGCCTTGGGAGTTGCCGTAAATCTGGTAGCAGTATCCTATGTTCCCAAGCCATGTTTACAGATAAATTATGCAAATATTGATATTTCAGAAAGAAAACATATCAGCCTTGTAACCAGTTACTTCTTGGAGTTTTTTTTTGTTGTATAGACTACTTAGAGACCTGCTAAAAACGGATAGGACCAGGCATTTACCAGTGACCCTCTTAGAAGTACTTGTCAAATGATCGTCTTAGTAGTTTGTCATCAAGTAATTTCGACTAAGAGCCAGATTCGCTGTTAACACAAAAATTATTGAGGTATTAAAAGAAAATGAATCATAGAGAAAGAGCCGTCGCCACGATCCACAATGACTGGCGACTACTCGGGACAAAAAACTACGAGTGCACTAGCACATCTATTTAAGAGCACCAAGAAGGTCGCGTTAGGCGAGAAGTGAGGCCATTAATAACGAAAGGAGATAACAGACCCTTAGGTTTCAGTTGAATAAATACACGAATCCAAACACTTCAGTCGGCTACGATTGCAATGCAACCTAAAGAATGAGAAAACGGTGTTGTAACTCGCACGCTAGAAAGAAGTAGTGGGATTTGCATGGTAAAAAGAAGTGCTAGAAACCAAACGCTTTGTTAAGCCATGCAAGTAAGTTCCAAGTTGGCATTAACGGGCTGGTAGCGAAAATCACTTTTATCACGGTTGGAGTACTTCCGCCCTAAACGAGTAACGGAGCAGTAAACCTCATGCAAGACCACATGAGTCAGAGTGTGATGAAGACACAGAAGCAGCAAACGACCATTTTGGTTTGGTAATCCGAACATAAACGTGCCCTCATCAATAACAAGTTGCTCATCAAATGGTAATTCTTCTAGGGCAAATACGGTTCGTGATTATCCAAGTACACAGTTAAGTACTACTAACGATTAACATGAGTAGTGATTTGTGAAAGCAATAATTAAGGAAGTGTTGCCCGACGACGTGGGCAACTAATCCACATCATCGTTTGTTATATCGTACCATCCGTGGTTTGTTTTTACGAATATTTGAAGTAAAAACTGGCTTATTCTGATTAGCTTACGATTTGCAAATAACTGAAGAAAGACAGTGGTTTTTGATCAATATGGTGAACAAGTGCTGCTCAGTGATAAAGGTGTCACGGCTGTGAGTCGATACTCACTGAAACCTAACATAATCTTATATTCGCCAGTGATCTATAGTATTTTTAACAGCAAAAGATGAAAACTGATTTTCCTATCATATAGGCAATGAATGAGCTAAATTCACAAAGATTTTCTGAGGAATTTGTTAACAAGATGTCAATCCGAAAAGCCTCATTGAGTTCGACAAGAGGAAGAAGTTCGATGAAGCCAAACCTTCGAGTCGGATCGTTTCCATGGAGATTTCAATATCTTTGAATGTACAGTTACAAAATATTTTATTAGAATATCACAATCAATCACGATATACATAAAGTGGATTGATTGACAGCACAATAACAAATCATGAAGTTTATTGCCAGGCTTAATCTGCAACCAATCGATTATTCTGACGGACTTAATACAAACTGATGTGAGAAGTTAGCTGATGTGCAGGGCTGAAGCAGAACAGCTTCTCACTGTTCAACAACGTCTTCACAGTTTCAATAACATTTTCCTTCATGATCGGATGTGCCCAGCACTCACTAGGTGACGTGGTAGTAGTGGACATGACTGACGTTACGCACCGGTCAGAGGAGAGTGATCAGCAAATAATATGGTGCTGATTATCAGGATATACGTGGTGTTCTGGTAAGTATCTCGCTTATGAGATCACGCGTATATTCGCTGGTCAAGTTCGAATCCCACTGGGGAGTTTTGCCATTTTGCAGACCACACCCACGACCATTTCTAGCGCAGCTATGATACAACTGTCTCAACTTGACATTTTGCCATTTCTAACACATTCCATTTTCCAAATATGTGCAAGTGCTCATTTTCGCTGTATCTATAAAAGCTTGAAATAGTGGGTTGGACTGAATCATGATCACAGTGCCATCGATTTCACCGGCTTTCGTGCGCAATTCATTCCTATCCCTAGGTCATGCTATCGGTGATAAAGCCTGAGAAGAAACTGAACTCGTAGTTTATCTGGTCTGACAAACAGGTCTAAGATAGCACAGATTACGTTGGATGTAGATTCGAAGATGAACACCGGGCTTTTTGGCAGTCATCGTAAGATTATGGAGCCATCACAGTCACTGGACACGATGGAGATTCGATGACATTTCGTTGCTTATTCAATAGTGTACGTCACTTTTCTATTTTCCTATCGCTTATATTAAAGGCTATCTTACTCTTTTATCTTTGTTCCATATTAACGTTACTATTACCGTTCCTATTCTTAGTTTGATACCTCACTGTCTGCATGATCAGGCCCACTAAGGCATCTTGGGTAGAATCACTGTGTACAGCAGGATCTTCCACTCTGCGAAGTCTCGCTGCAAGAAACAGCCCAGCATTTGCGTTTTAAAGCTCAGGCCAAATTCGTCACCATCCTAGAGGGAACATGTGTGCAAGGCTGAACCATCATCTGGTCAGTGATAGTTATTCAATATTAAGAACAATAATTAGTCAGGTCTAACAACAGCCGGTGATCAGTTGTCGTGACGAGTAGGAAACACTCTTACATAGATTCCACGACGGATTCATTTTATTTCTATCAAAATAAATAATAATAATAATGAAATAACAACTCGCGTTTGCTCAACAAGAATATAAAGATTTACTTTTATACGACTTGCTTGGAAATACAGAGAAAAAACAGAAAAAGTCTTGCCTAACCAGCATAAAGTAATAAGCCACCATGTACTTCGTAGTGAATGAAAGAAAGGATAAATCTCTCGGAGTTGATCAATCCCTGAAGGACGCACCTTGCATTCGACTTCACTAAACAGTATCGTTGGAGGTGACTGAATGCATATCTGGCCTTTACAATGACTCGCGGTGGTCTACTGATGTATTGAGAAAGTGCTGCTATCCTCCCAGACGAGTCTAGTACCAATTTGCCAATCCCGGAGGAATGGAAGAATTGGTGGGCCGCCGCCGCAGGGATCGATTCTATGTGTATTGCAGGGCGCCTCCGACCAGTGCGCCACACAAACTTGGTAGTAAACGACCATAAACTGACACAGTCATTATTCTAAAAGACCAGTTGGTAGATAAATTACATTTATAAATATAAATAATGAATTGCAACGTGCGAACAAGTGAAAACACCAAGAAAATAAATACATGCTCGTCAAGAAGGAAACCACAGCAGCCCTCTGGTGAACGAATTCAGAGAATCAATTGAAGAAAAAGAGCTATTCACAATTACTGTCAACAAGAAGTGATACTTTTATAAGCTGATGGGAAATACTTGATAGAGTTGATAGAAAAAGTGAAATCATGGAAGTGGCTAGATCAAACGTAATTCGGTTATACCCGTATGACATGAATAAAAGAGCAACAATGATGACGATCAACCTAATCGACTAGAGAACATGAACAATCGGAAGATTCTATTAAAGGGCTTAAAGTCCTGTAGGATTATGGACAACAAGACAACATCAGATGACAATATGTAGATGATTTCGGCTTTGATCCTCCATCGATGTTGTCGGTGCTGTTGAACTTTTACTCTGACGTACTCCACTCGACTTCAACGGCCGATCGACAGCCTTCACAACACGTAGCAGACGTTTGATCGTCTGTCGCATCAGAATACGATAACGCTTCGATACCAAACAGTAGAGCGCGAAATTCATTGCAGCATTGAGGAAGACAAGCTGAAAATCAATGAAGGGTAAGTTTTCCCTCGACTGCTTTTTCTTTTTTGAACAGTTTTCTAAGCATATTTATTTATCCATTCATTCTTCCTCAAAATTTTACCGAGAACGAAAAATCATTAGAGCTTCACTAGACCTGCTGAGAGATACAGGTGTAGATGATTGCTCTAGCGTGATATTGTCCAAACATATCGAAAAGTAATCGCGCCGGAGCCTGAACAGTATGTCATATATATATATATATATTTAGAGACAGCAAGTGTAAAAATCAATCAATAAACTAGTAATCGATTTAAAACACAGTATATGCGAAGACTGAACAGTAACAGTGCTAGAATATCCCGAAATACTTAGCGAGAAAAGTTTTCTAGTACTTTTTCTGTTTCTTCAAAAGATTAAAAAAGACATTTGTTTACGACATCGCCTTTGATAAATCCGCGAATTTGAGAAAATCTATGGAGTCCTGGAGAACATTAAGTATAACAGAATTAATTTCTACTTTTCGAACCGCATGATATGGGGTCATTAGATAAACTATCCCATGACTTCAAGAAAAACGAGTATTCAGAATCAGAAGATGTGAGGAGAGAAGACGACAGATGGTCAAGTCGCCGTACACTTCTTCGCGAACTTAACCATTTCTATACAGGAAACCAGTTAAAGTAATGCGATACGCCGTACTTATAAAGGCACACAATAAAAGTAAGCAAACGATCTCGAGAAAGATATCTTGACAAAAAATTTTTTAGGGTCACCGCTAGCTAATCAAGCTTCTCATCCCGCTGGGTCGACAAATTGGTGCCAGAAGCGTTTGAGATAGTGAAAAACGTTGACTTGATACATCGCTAGGCCACCGAAACTCATTGTGTAGGCCAAATATGAATTCTGTTAGCCACAGATGCTACGAATAAAGTCAGATGCATTTTATTGGTGTGCCAACTTTCACAACTCTTCGTTTTCTTATGTTTGCTTTTCACATTCCTTTTTTTACTCCTTTCTCATCCATTCTTCCTAATTTCTTTCTTTAGTCGCGACAATTGGTTCAAAGTCCCTGTTTCTTGCCTTTTTTTCCTACAAAAACCAGAACATTTTTATTCAAAAAAAGGTGCAGGCATCGTTATCCTCAACGAAGTCCTGCTACATTTCCAATAAGCATACAACCAACCGCGATCTTTGAACTCCCTAGATTTTCTTTGATGGAAAGGCTCAGATCATATTACATCGGCATACTTCCAAGAAAGTGCTCAAATCATTTAAACTACCACTTTCTATTAACCTCGGCATTGATCAAGTAATTTTTTTGTATTTTTGCTGAGCAAATACGAGGTGTTACTATTCTTTATTCACGAATAAGCTGACCTCATAGAAAGGGAATTTCGCCTTCCTCAGAGCCGCTTTCTATGAGGTTCCCACTAAGTATGTCGCGTGAAGACCAACATTATAATGTTAACATTATAACATTATGCTTCCATGTGATTTCTGTGCGGTTGGTCTTCATTTAAACTAATTTGTAGAAATTTGGACAGAAGATAGGTTTGAATCGCGAAAAGAAACTAAAATCTCCTAAGGAAATCCTAGAAGATTTGGCCACTCAAGAGTGATTATAGAAGAATGACGCTGTTTTGGTGAAAAACAACACCATATTTTTCACTAACTGATAGTGAACAGTTTAGTTCCCTGGCGGCAAACCGCTGAGAAAAACACTTTTCCAATACACAACGCTTTGACTTCATGCTTGTTAGCCATCTTGGTTATCTCTGGAATGGTTATGAACGTTTTACCGCTCTTATATCATGAGCTCCTTCGCTTTATTTTCATATGGTCTCTCCTTAATGGCCGTTGTTCGTCTTCTTCAAAAATTACTGAAAGCGAGAACGGAGCAACATGTAGAAGTTCTAACGGCCAATTTCTCTTCCGGAAAATTAATGGTGCTACTGATAACATTGACTCCGCCTTATCCATCCAAAGATATCAACAATCGTTTCTAAACGGCTGTCTAAAAGCTAAAAGCTCCCATGTGTATTGCAGGGCGCCTCCTACCAGTGGCCACACGCGTCCTATAGATCATCGTTGTATAATCAACAACAACTATTCCGACAGTTTTCCATAGAATCAGTCAATATCGGTAGCGATTTCAAGAAAACTATGGGTTCGTCGTAGATTTGAAACAGACGTACAGATAATTCCCAATCCATGAAAGCAAACATTTCCAAGATGGACGGAACTTTGAGAATCGTTTACGACTGCTCTATTCGTCAACATGCGGTTACTCCTGGAAACAGTAAATGTCTTTCTTTCTTACAGCCCGCCATCCGTTCTGGTCTATCAGAAAATACATTATGAAAGGATAGTCCTAGTATGCGTTATTTCAAAAATTCTCCACATTCTCTCATATAATAAAATTTCTACTGATCTCCCTCACAAAGAGATCTAATGCCGATCAGCAGCATGGGAATGTGACGCGTCCCTAAATAGCGGAACGGGAGTTATTCGCGGACCAAAAGAAGCGTTATGCTTCCTTGAAAAGTAGCTGGATCGAGGAAATGGAATTGACTCCCTGTTTCTGCTGCATGGATTTTGTACATATATTCCGCGTTTGTGAGGATATATTCATGCATGCGTGCGTGGGAGTGTTCTCGTTTATGCGGATTGTATTCTACGAGTAAAGGGACTAGGAGACACATTTGAGGCAACTAGGAGTTGCCACCAACAAATAAACTTCCCGTGTACTTTGGAAGGGATTGGAAAGAGACTATGAGTATACCCAGCCCCAAGGTTCAAAGCTGAGCAAGCTATACGTAACACGGTAAAATAAGCGGGCCTTATTCTCCCCATCGTGAAAAAGCAATCGATAACGGCAGGGTTGGGTAGGACAATCTCATGACCATACTATGTTGTCTAAATCTCAAAGGACTAAAGTAACGACCTGCACCTACAATAAACGCTCATTTGCAACCGAGTCATGATCATGCAGGCAAAACGGATAAGAGGCGACATCATCAGACTGGCTAAGACGAGAAGACAGTACTTATTCAAAGCCGTCTACGACACAGAAAGAAAATGCGACAATAGAGAAGTGCACGGTATTCAGTACGAGTTTCGTTTTGAACGTCGATTCCTTTGAACAACTAACAAACCCAATCGGCCGCGCACAATGGAAGAAATGTGGATTAATACCAACTCTAAAAATCTTCGCGATCGACATACCCACATCAAGCTATAACAAAGAAAAAATCTAAGTGTTCGACATGGGTTTGGAGAAGCTCCATGGAAAACACTATACACTACTTAAGGTCACTATTAGAAACTTTAATGCTTTAAAGACTTTACTTTAAGAAACTTTAAAGACTGGACCCAGAAGAATCTCCGAAGAATGCCACCTTTAGACTCAAAAATTAGAACAAAGCAGGCGTAGCGAGTGGTTGCATGGGTTTATTATGACGACTAAGAACCTTCGTGGTAAATAGTAATTTAAGAAGCCCTGATCTGAACGCCGGAAAAATCCCAAAACCACCATAAACTGGAATTTATTCAGATCGTTAGCCAGCTCCTGCGAAGGTGTCATTATCAGTAAAATCGAAGAGAATGAGACCGGCTTGTTGAACATCTTCACGTTAGCGCTATGAAAGTTTTGAGTCCGAAAGTCACATCCACAACTACGGCAGGTGGAATCGTAGCAGCCATAGACAATCGGCCATAGATTTGCGAGATTGCGAAACAATTCATGAAGGGGATAAAGGAAGACCTCAAGAGAGAATAGGTAACTATGGTTGAGCGCGCAGAGGTAGGGAAAAGCATTTGCAAATCTCATTGAAAGTTTGCGACCAAGAAAATTAAGATGGATGCACTTCCACACCGAAATGGAACAGCTACAGCTTCTAGAAAGGCAACGGAGAAAATCATTCACGATTACTCGGATCTCACCAATAGTCACGTCCTACTACCCTTATACGAAATAAAAGAGAATAAATATGTCATCTCATTAGTTTTCTCTTCCGAAATCCGACATGTTATTTTGATGTTTATGGAAACGAATTGGTTTCGCATGATCCATTCATGCTAAACTGAATGAATACCTCTGAAAGCGCTAACCTATGTCTACCTAGGTTGGAGGTCCTCATAATGAACGACTTTCAGAGTTAAGCTGTTGTAATCGAGCGGCTTGGAGAGCATTTAAAAGCACTGAGGATGTAGCGAGGAAAACAAGGAATACCCATTGCCATACCACCTTTTCGAATCCACGATACTCCCCGTCATAATGTATGCATCAGAAATCTGGTCGCTGAGTAAGCAGAATGAAAGATCACTCAGAGTTATGGAACGCTCAGTCGAAAAGTCTGTGCTAGGAGTATCTCGTATCACGTAATTGAGGGAGGGTCTCCAAATCTCTGATCTTCGCCAACGATCAAAAATCAGAGACGCTGTACGCCAAATTGCGGAAGAAGGACCGGGCACGTAATGCGTATGAACGAAAATCGATGGACAAGAGCAGTTATTCTCCGTTATGTCATACGCACAACATGAAGATGGAGGGCGACGTGATGGTCAAAGTTTTTGACGTAAACCCTCAAATAAAGACGTGATGCTTAACGAGTCCCTAGAGCTAGCAAAACCGCTGGACTACTCTTAGAAATGGAATGCTCACTATCGCCTGCTCGAGTCGGTCGAGGATCAATGGAATACAAACTGATAAAAGTGATAGCAAAACACGTAAAATTGGTCTGGTGAGATCGTTTGCAGTGATAAAGGAACGAAGTGTGCCGTCAATGGATTGTGTTTAATTCTTTCTCTTCACGTTACTTTAATTCTCACTTTCATTTGGTATTGGGCTCAAGTAGCACAGCAGCAATGGTGCTCAATAAGCTCAAGGACCTTTTCCGAGGCAGTCGTAGGCCAACCATGCCTTCCATCCCTCCGGAGTTGAGGGATTGGAACCAGACTTGTTGGAAAAGCTCTTAAGATTCGCAAGACGGCTAAGGACCGCTTTAGTGCAGCCCCTCGAGATCGGTTATCAAAATAAGCAATCACCGCCAAGCATAAGGGAGACTGAAAATCCTCAAGCAATAGCCGACAAACGCGGGAAAACGAATCAAATAAGGGCAGTGCAGGGATTGCCACTATGTGAAGAAGCGTCACGTAAAAATTTTTTCCCTCTACTCCTTGAATAGTTCCGTTTCCATAACTTCTTCTGTTCAATGTATCAAAATAAGCAAA